CCAAAAGAATGCTATATAACATTATAAGGAACATTTCCTGCAGAATATCCAGTTAATTTTCCTGTCCATTGTGATGAATGCTAGTTCTAAGTCATCCAATTATAGGCTGTGTGTATTTGTACTAATACTAACCAGTCGTCTCGTCGCCGTTGACGCTAAATTGCCTATCGTCCCTATTGCTGGTCCTATGTGTATTGCTGCCAGCAGTGGGCGCGTCACTGGAGGAAAGAATCGTGTTCGGACTACGGAATATACCTTTGTGGGTTTTTTTTTTTTATCACGCCGACACACAAACCAGCCACCCCGTGGAGTTGCACACATTTTTGGAGACAATGTGTGAGAGAGCATACTGTGTGAGACGTGGGAGTACGTGAACCAGTCAGTGTGAGTATGAGTGGAGGAGGTGGTGATGGCGGAACTCACTGCATAGACGTGTCGTGATGCAGGATACAATGCAACAAAATTTAAGGGCCTGGCCTGGGGGTATGAGTCAGTGCGTTCACATGATAAAGCAAGGCCAGGGCACCTGAACTTTTTGTACTTGTGCATTTTTGTGTACAAGGGAACAGCCTGCAGAGGAGGTACAGCATGGACTGTCTGTGCCTTCTTTCACAAGTTCCACATCAGTATTATCCAGCCAATAGCCTAATCCATATACTTGTGACTGTTGTGACTTCATCACAGTCAGTGACACATTTGAGGTGATGATAGAGTATTGACTTCAAGGCTGTTTGACCACCTCCATCTCCCACACCTACAATATAGTTGTCCTAATCAGACTGGACCTTGATATTGTTGATAAACTATTATAATCAAACTCCTGTTCAAATTCTGTCTTGTGTTCACAGGAAAACAGAATACATTTTATTGTTGCTAGTTCATTTCTTAGAACAGTGTTTGCTAAACCTTTTGTCTTGTAAATGCTTGAAATCAAGCTCTGTCTACTGGAGATCCCATGTCACAGATGTCATGGAGAGGACATAGGTTAAATTGTGATCAATCTGATTGAAGAGTGATTGATTTTTATTTTTAATTTTTTTAATCTTTTCAGATTTTTTGAGGCCTGGATGGGTAAAAGTCGGTCAGTCCACAATTTTAGACCATAGCCTTTTACATTGATGGTCCCCAGCAGATGAATTCTGCTGCTGTGTCAATCCTGCCTTTTCCGATAGTGCCACCATGAGATTAATACATTATTTTGGGTGAATGGCTCAACAGCTGTTGGATGGATTGCCATGAAATTTTGTACAGACATTTCCCAAAGAATGAATCTCACCCATTCTGGTGATCCTCTGACTTTTAGTCTTGCACCACCACGGATTGACATGAAATTCAGTAATGACATTCATAGTCCTTGGATGAGGGGTCCTGAACTCCAGGCTGGAATCTGAGTATTGTGAAATAAAAGTACATAATACTAGTGAAAAAATACACATGATAACTACAAAAGTAATTTTAGTATAGACAGTTGCATTAATAATTTTTTTTGAAAGGATATATGTGTGCATGCACTGTATGCTGAGGTAAACAGGTGTCAGTCTGTCCAAACTGGTGTGTATTTCAGGAGGGCTGTAGTGAGCCAATTGGTTGCCAGGAAACCAAGATTGGGTGTTGCTCATGTTACACAGATCTGTTTCTCCCATCTTTCTCTCTGTGTCCTATAGAGAAACTGTCGCTCTACTGGTAACTATACCCTTCTAATGACTCAAATTCAAGTCCAATCACCAACCTTTTGCTTCTTGTCACTTGCAGGTATTGATGCTCTCTGGCTGTCAGGATGCAGCAGCTGATATTGAAGGTCCTCTCCTTCACGTTGGTGCTTCTAGCATCAGTTCCCTCTGTGTACTTGGAAGAAGGTAAGGCTGCATCCACATATCCTAAACGTTTTGTTGTTGTTGTTGTTGTTGTCTTGAAAGAAACCTGTTGGTGTCTTTCTACATTATCCAATTTCTCCTTTCCTTAACTCCACAAGAGCCTGATTTGAGTCTTGCCGTGATAATTTCTCTACAGTTTATTGTGAATATGGCTTCTTCTCCAGGACTTATTTTATAAACATACAAGAAATAACAGTGTGAGATATGATTGTGAATCTACCGTCTTTTCTGTGGCACTGACAAATTGACGGGACAGACCTGAAATAATTCAGTTGTTAAAATATTTCTCTGGAAACCTATTTGTGCATCAGACAGTCTCAGTTGATTCGAGTGAGACTTCCAACTGACAGCCAGTTTTGACCCTCCTACAGATTGTTCTCAAGCCAAGTCATGCGACCTGTGCGTTGGAGACTCCATGCTCAACCTGACAGGCTGTGTCTGGAGGTTTTGTCCAGATGGTAGTTTGCACACATGCGCATACAAATGCACACACAAGCTGACATACACCCCTGACCTCTGTTGGTAATTCAATCACCACATCTGCTGTAACATAAGCTTCCCTGGTTTGTACAAGAAGACTGAATTATTCACTATACCAGGAAAACACACACACACACACACACACACACACACACACACACACACATACACTTTAATGCTTTCTCTGTCTCAGGTGATGATGCAGGCATGTGTGTGAGGACTGAGGACAGCTCAACAGAAAGCCCTATGAACTGTAGCTGGACCACAGCTCCTGAAATGTGCACAGGTAGCAAACAATACCCTCTGAAATTAACTCAAGGTATTTGTCTGCAGCCTCATATCTTATTTATGTTTCATTTCCCAGTTATAGAGACTAAAGCTGAAGGAGGAGGTGACAGTGACTCAGGTAAAGTCAGCATCCCTTTACACCCCCTCCCCTCTCTTTTGTGTCAGACAGCTATTATTCCTAAAAGAGCTGAGTAAAATGTCCCTGAAGGCCATTCACACAGCAAAAATCCTTGTCAGTGCTTATTTAGAAAAAACCTGACACTGTCCTCTTCTCCCACCCTGCCCTACAGTTTCATATAATTTCACAGTGAGCCCAATAAACAGTGTCACTTTCATCCCTCCAGGTGATGTAAGTGACACTAACCCATCCCCAGAGTTTGCCCAGGCCAAGTTTGACATGTCCAGTTTCATCGGAGGCATCATACTGGTGCTGTGTCTAGAGGCAGGAGGCTTCTTTGCCATGCGCTTCCTCAGATCCAAAGAGCAGAGCAACTATGACCCCATGTAAGTTTGTGCACATAGGTGTCGGTGAACACAGAATTTAGCATGACTGTATCAGTTTATGTGCCTGTAATTGTGTCAGTGTCACTGCGTGGTGACAATTTGTTGGTGCAACAGCAGCCCCTGGTGGTAGGAGTGGTCACCAACAGCCAACACACAAGGCAACTCACCTTCTAAATTCCCTGCAGACTGTATTGCGATTCTGATCACAGACACTATCTGTCTATATGAAAATGTTCTCTGTCTTTACACAGAGAGCAGACACAATGAAGTCAAGGAGAGACAAGAGGATGAGGGTGGAGGACAGCAGAGCAGTGACTCATGGAGCTGTGATATGATTTTTTTTTTTCACTGTCACTTTTGGTTTGATCCCCATGTGCATCCCTTGGGGATATGTGTTTTGGCAAGAGGACATATGGCTCAGATTATTGCATCGTGTTCTGCGTGTGTTCACTGTCTACAGCACCATATTAATAGTTCAGAGATATTTTTTGGGCTCTTCATACAATCATTTCCCACACTTTCAGCACGTTATCTCTGTGATCAAACCCACCTTAAATTTTCACCAATCCCAGCTAGTTAAGAGTTTGTCTTCTGACAAGCAACAAAGCAACTCATGTCAAATGTGCCGTTTCAACTGTGTAAATAGTGAAGTGCAGTTATGGGTAATGGTGATATAATCCCATGTAGACAGTAGGTCAGACAAGGTCATAAAAAGCATTTTTCTTCAAGTACACTAAAATAAACCAAAATGAGAAAGTGAAACTTTTTGTCTATCATCAAGAGAACGTCTGTATTCCATATGGAGTGTCTTACTGAAACACTAAAAAGTGCTTATCAAAACAAACATTAAAATATGTATCTTTTATATTTATTCTGTATTTTAACTTGTAATGAGTGAAACCTCAAGGATTCCTGGAGGTCCCTAGACCCTGCTTTTATGACTACAGGAAATTACACTTTATAGTTTCACATCTAAGGACCAGTAGTAGTAGCCGACCTTCACACTTCATATAGACATCCATTATTGCGTTAACGCTACTCATGTGATTTGTGTGTGCTTTTGTTCCATCTTTCTTTTTTTGATATACAAATTCAGGAAGATTTCCCAAGATTTTAATTTAGTGTGCTCATATTGATTATTTACACATCAGCTTTAACCATTTAAAAACAGTCCAGAGATGTGATGTGACCCTATTTAATATTGTTTAAACTGATTACAATGAAATGTTTGGATTGTTTTTGTGATGCATTAGAATGAAAAGTGACAAGTCTGCCAGCCTGAATAAACTAAGTAAGAACCAACACCTGTTTCTCTCACTGCGGGAGTGTGTGTCATGTCTGCTTTCTTTCATGCAGATGAGGGGTTGGTAACATTTAATCACTGTAAGGCACTGTGTGGTATGATCTGAATGCATATTTGCCCATACGACCAGAGTGAATAAACTGATTTGACTGCAATCTGGGTGCGACCAGAGACTTGCAGATAAAAAACACATTTTAATCCTTACATACAGATCACGCAGCAGGGACAGGGTACTGATGGAGGCCTTTAGGGGAGCAGCAGGACAGCTGGTTGGACACACCATACATGGTCTGAGCCAGGACCTACAAACTTGAATAAGTTAACACAAAAAAAGTTTCCAAAAATGGGCAGACTTTGGCCTTCACCCAAATCTGTTGACAAAGGACAGGACTGAATAAAGCCTTTTTCAATCGGAGCTCCCCCTACACCCACACAAACACATTTCCATTGAGTGAAAAAGAAAACTAGCACACACATTACCACAAGTCCACATTAAAGTTGCGACTAGCTATCCTATAAGCAACAAACATCTGTCTGTACATGTGTGCACAGTGGACTAGGTGCAGCAGCTTTACTGTGGTGGCCAAATGTGTGTTTAGCAGGTGTGGACAGCTACAAGGAAGAAAGCTACATCCCACCTCCACCCTGCTATTTGGTAAAACATCCGTGTGTGTGTGAGAGAGTCATATCACACAGCCAAACAAACACACCATTATCAAACTGACGCACACACACACGCTCGTTGTCCCTGTATAGTTTGTTTGTTCCGCCTCAGGCTCAGCTCCCAGCTGAGTGCAGCCCCCGTCCAAACTGACTGGAGGGCGTGTTCACTCCGTGTACTCCGCCACACTCAGGTCAACTTTTCACCAAACTTTTCATCGATGGAGCTGGCGGAAGCTGTCAAGTCAGGTAACTCGAGTTTTGGCTTTAGCTTTATGTTTCTCTCTTTGTACTTTTGATGACTGTGGGAGGGAAGTTTTAACCCAAGAGGGGAAATACAGCGACAGGTGTGCAGCCTCTCGCGGTGTTCGTAATGAGAAAAGGACGCCTTTTTTCCCCATAGAGAAACTTCACAACCACTCCACTAATCTTTCAGAAATACAGTATTAAATATTACAGACTTGTGTAAATAACCTGCAGTTGTTTAATCAACTTTAAGTGCAAAACATACTACAAAACCTTAAGTGCAAAAACAACTATAGAATATATCTATTTCTTGTACAGACTACAACGTTATTGTTTGTTGTTGTTGTTGTTTGTTTAGGTTTTGGATTGTGAAAGCTGTGGCGCACTCGTTACCTGTTTGCAGAACTCATAAAGACTTGGACACAAGAATCGCACTGCGCATGCGTTAACTACTCAGGCGGTAGATATCCAGATACACACTGTAAAACATAATTATATTATATTGTGGTGCAGCAGGTCAGTTTGTTTTCCTCCTGTTTTGACACCAGACCAGATAATAACAGTTTAAAGGGCGTCTAGAGAGGATTTGGAGCGGGGTGGGATGATATTTGAAGCAGACAGGAACAGCCTACCTAAAGCAGCATGTGTCTTTGCCCACTGAAATACCAGAAGACCTTGCTTCTTTATTTTGGGAAAGCATGCTGATTGTCTTAAGCAACAAATGGCAAGAGGGTCACAAGTAGGCAGTTTTATATTTTAGCAAGTCATGGGGTTGAAGTATTGGGAAACCGGTCAGAATGTTGCCATTACACAATTAATAAACTGTATCACATCCTGTCTTCTGAAAGATCTTAGGCTGAAAAGATATGAAGTGAAAAAAAAAGAAGTAAAAGTTCATTTAAATTCCTGCAACAGAAGCAGTATAACATTTGACAAAATTTAGGTTTCAAGTACCTTTTAAAATGGATTATAATGAAATCAATCTTTAGCATTTTTAATTCAGAAGTTTAGAGATAGTGGTGGTCTGTTTGTTTAAGGGCTGTGTTCATGTCCACGTCTCTCTCAGGGATGGAGGTGGTGCAGGTTGACTCTTCTCTTGACCTGAGCCAACTGACAGAGGATGAGCAGTCCACCATCCTGAACGTTTTACAACGCGACTTGGACTTGCGGCAACGTGATGAAGGACGTGTAAGGTCAGAGGTGACTGTTTATCTTTTTAGTTGCTAGTGCAGTCCAGAAATCAACACTGACATAGAGACAGGTGACAAATCAAAGGAAAAAAGACCTTATAAAATCTTCAGCACAGCTTCTAAGCACCATCACATAGATTGTACCAAGTCTCTGAACTCTCCTAGAGGGATGACTATTATTTTTATATTCCCTCATTTGGTGTTTTGACAATGGTAGTGGAGACACTGTCTAACATGTCAGTCCAAAATGTCCCTTAGGTGTTAAAGTGGGTTGAGATCCTAGTGACAGTGAAGGTCATAGCGTTTGATTCAGATAATTTTCATGCTCAACAAACCATTCGGATCCCTGCTGCGTTCTGTGGATGGGGCATTCTCAACCAGGGAGAGACCAATTCCATCAGGATATAAACTTTCATGTTAGGATAAAGGTGATGACACAGTAACTTCCTTTATCTCTAAGAGAACAAGCCACAGTCAAGTCAAAATAGAATTTACTGCTTAATTGAAGCATCTGTCTTTATTTTTCACCACTCATATATTCCATTTTCATTTTATTTGTCACCATGTTGTAGTTTTAGGTAAAAAATCTGTTTGTACTGATTGTAGTTTTTTTGGTTAATTGAAACCTCAGTGGGCAGAGTCAATGACTACAGTATATTTGATTCCACATTGTTGTCCAGGGTTTGAGTTTTGTCCTGGTTTTGATCTTATTCAGGAAATAATGTTTACATGATGTAAACGTGAATATTCACACCCCAGTGTACATAACATCTGGGTTTCTGATAATCTGGCAGCAGATGTGTCTTGATTCTTCAACATCTCAGCCACTTATATCTGAGGAGGAGCACATTTTGGTTTCTGGCTCTCTGAGCTCAGTTACCAGCTTCTCCACCTGGTCAACAGTAATGGAGAACAAGAGTGACAATGCACTCTTATTGTTTGTTTTACTGACTATCTGCTACATAACTTCAGTCGGTGATGCACCTGCACGTGGCAGATAATCACGCCACAGTGTCCTGGTTTCTTTAGGAGCACTCCAACTAACATAGCAGGTTTGACAGATATGTTGTTTACATGTGCAACACAACTGGGATATTCCAAAGCCCTGATCATAGCTGGGATATTAGTGCCACATATAAACACAATTCATGTTGGTTTATGGGCGAACTTAGTTCTGTGGCTCTGCTCACTGAGTTTTATATCAAATTTTACAATACTTTCTGCTACCAGAGCAGCGCCTGCATCTGGGAATTATTGTCATGCATACATGTCAAACTGTTGTGTTGACCACATGATGTGAGAGCTCCATGGTTTTGGTTTGGCAAAAAGTCTAATAGTCAGGTTTCATGTTTGTGATGTTTGTTTTGATTAATATTTAGACTGGGCCCTCTGTTAGCTAAGCTAAGTATTATTATTGATTTGATTTTTGGTATGGACTCATTGTTTAGTCTATAAAATAATAGAAAATAGTAAAAAGAAAAGTTGTGAGAAACTAAACTGGAGAATGTTTGGCATTTTTGCTTGACTTAACTGATCAATTATCAAAATGATTGCCAGTTCATTCTGTAGACTGGTTAATTGGTAAATCACTAATAGTTTCAGCTCTGCTATCAGAGTGGTGGATGTATGAAAAAGTTTATCGAACACCTAATTATTAATTAACGAGGAAATGTGGCATGTCAAATTTTGTGTTTTACATGGTGGGTACGTTCCACGACACCAGTGACAACAGCGACTTTAAATCCCTTCGCTTAGTTTCTGACATTGGCTGATTTCAGCTGATCTTTGCAGACAGGAGGTTGTGATTGTTTGCTGTTTAACTTGGCTCTTTTTCAATGCTGCAGAATCCTTGAGCAAACGGAAACAGACCCGGTACGTCTGCGCTGGCTGTCGGGGGCCTGGTTCAGTGAGGAGTGTAACAAACGCCGTTCCAACTGGAAGTCTGGCAGTGACCTCGTCCGTGCCACTATACGCCACAGGAAGTCAAAGAGCAGAGGTCAGTTTTCATTTTATGCACTACTACCATTACCAACCTTTGGGGCTGCGCTCCTGGTGCTATAGGGATAATCCAGTGACAGGTCTGTGGTTGTTGCCATGGAAACAGATGTGCCCCTGGCAGATCTGTTTAATGGAGAGAGAGAGGAAACCTCCCACAACAACACCACCTCTCCGGAAGCGGACAGAAGACTGAAGGACAACAAGGAAGAGGAGAGTGCAAGGTTAGTGAAGGCAGAGAAAAATCATATGACATGTTACACGATTCGTGTGAAACTGTATTTCCCCTTTCTTGTTTCAGGGGTCAGGGAAGTTTGAATCCTGCACCCATATCAAGATGTTCTGTAGCACAGGTGCTTGCTTATTTCTTGTTTTTATATATGAAACTGTGTCATAAATAATCATTCAGATATTAATAAATCATCTTCAACTCCAGGGTCTCCAGCATAAAACTAGTTCCTCATCATCCAAAGGTACTGGTATGACTGTTTCTATCTCGGTGCTTTTGTACCTGTCTGGTGCTACTTGTATTAACTCATCCTTCTGCTCATAGAGTGTGAAAGGAGGAGTAATGGCCACTCAAAGGAACCTGAGGTGATTACAGCACACGCCTACATTCACAGATTATGATGACTTGTGGTTTTAGAAAACACTGCTTTGAACTTTCATCTCCTGTTCAAACACACTCCACTGACACAGATTCAGGATTTTTAATTATTTACATGTACAAATTGGTCACATTTTGCCTTTTAAAATGCAACAAAGTATAACAGTAGTTTAAAGACATGATGTACAAGAAGACGGTGCCAGTTGATAGATGATCAATGGATCTGAGAATTGTATGTGTGCATTAAGCAGGACTTTCACAACGGGGACACTGACTCTCTGAGCAGCAGCCTGACAGAACCAGATCCATCCTCTCTGAAAACGAGCAGCTCTGGTGGCAGCCTTCATTCGGGTTATGCGGTATGCAGACATATACGTGCGTGCGCTCACGCTCATTTGATGAATTGGCTAAGCAGCGACGCAAGATGACTCAGCTCAGGACAGTGACGTAGGAACTGATCTTTATGCTTTGTGTGTGTGCGTGTTGTAGCTCAGTGGAAGCATGATGAGCCTGTTCAGCTCAGGGGAGTTTGGTGTAGTGGAGGTGACTGGCCGTATTCAATTCTCATTGGTTTACGACACCCAGAAGGAGGAGCTGCAAGTCAAAGTGTGTCGC